AAAAAGAAAATCATCAGTGGGAGTTAAACCAATGAAAGTTGATGTGGAAGAGAATATCACATATCTCAAATTACTTTTAACTGTAAAAGGAAAAAACAATAACTTTATAGAGGACCCAAGAAAAACCCTATTCAAATAAACTGCCACTCTCCATTATGCATTATTTAAGGGATAATAATTAATATGCAAAGCTAGCTCAAAGATTAGCACCATTTTATTGATTTTGCCAGGGTAAGGAGACTTCTGACGCCAGACAACAATCATGGAAGCAGAGATCATGTTTACCTCCTTTACTACTTTATCCCCAGCACGGCACTGGGGACAGAGCAGGTGCTCAAGAACTGCCTGGTGACCCTAACCGGTTTGGCTCAGTGGATAGAGCACCGGCCTGCAGACTGAAAGGTCCCAGGTTCGATTCCGGTTAAGGGCATGTACCTTGGTTGTGGGCACATCTCCAGTAGGAAGTGTGCAGGAGGCAGCTGATGGATGTTTCTCTCTTATCGATGTTTCTAGCTCTCTATCCCTCTCCCTAATCACTGAGGAAGCAGGAAGAGAAACTGAGCTCCAGGTTTTGCTAGCCCTGGAACAGGAACCGGAAGAGTGGCTTCTAGTCCCAGCAATGACACTGAGAACCCTAGGGTTCCCAGAGCCTCGGCCGTCTCCCTCTCCCCCGCCTTCATTTCTACGAGGTCCAGATTTTGGACCTCCATGACTTTTTACCAGTCATTTCACATCGCTAGGTTTCAATTTCCTTCCAACGCAAAAGTATAAATCGGTGAGCTTTACCACTAAACAGGCTTGAAATGTGCTGGGCCACTTACTCTACAGTTGTGCCCTTCAGCAAGTGCTCAGGCAGTCAGCACTGGAATTTACCCAGATGGTGACCGCTGGTCCTGAACGGCCCTCTTTAAAATTCTGCTTGCCCGGGAGAAGATGCTCAGCATCACTCATCATCAGGGAAATGCCGATCAAACCACAGGGAGATACCACCTCTCACCCATTAGAATGGAGAAGTGTAGGCACGGATGTGGAGACACTGGAAGCCTTGCACAATGCCGGCGGGAATGTAAATGGAGCAGACACAAAAGGACCGATACTGTAGGATACCACTTACATGAGGTACTTGGAGTAGTCAAATTCAGAGAGACAGAAAGTAGGAGAGTGACCAGGAAGAAAGGAAGGAAGGGAGGTGAGGAGTCAGTGTTTAATAAAATACTAGTACTAATGCAAGATGAAAAGAACTGTGGAGATTGGTTGTACAACAATGTGGATGTACTTAAACACGACTGAACTGTGCACTTCAATGACTAAGTGATAAATTCTATGTTATGTGCATTTTAACATAATTTTTTTAAAATTTTAATGAGTATAAACAAAATACAGATTGAGGTGGAAATCCTGCTGTTAAGGGTCTATGACTTTGCCACTTCCTGTGTGTGTGACCTCAAAGTAGCCTTATAATTTACCATGCTACGCGCCTGCCGCCCCAGCGGGGCTGAAGGGACTGGGCACCGCCATCTTGTGTCTATGGGCACAGCCATCTTTGAGGGCGTGGCAGTCAATTAGCATATTCCCTCCTTACTGGCTGTGGGCACTGCCATCTTTGTGGGGGTGTGATGGTCAATTAGCATGTTCCCTCTTTATTAGATAGAATTAGTATTGGCCTCCAGCATATGGGAAGGACCGCTTTACATAGCACCTCCCTCAGCCACTGAGAGATCAACTGGAGCTGCTTTGAAAACTTAAAAAATCCCACCAAATTATCAGCCATTACCAGGATAGTACCCTTAAGTAATCACATTTGGACCCCATTAGAAAGCCTAATAACTTAGATGAAATTACTCAAACATATTTCTTTCATGGTGGCTTTTGAATTAAGGACCCTCCCAATTTCCTTCACTGCTCAATTCTCAGAAAGCCAGCTGAGCCCTACAGGTACCAGCAGGGACTGAAGGTTTTCATTTCCATCTGCTGGAAGCTCACTTTCGTAGGAGCCTGCATTATCTGTCACCATCTAAGTAAGGAATTAGACATGGTCAACTGATACCTGGATTCCAATTTATGCCTCAGGGAGCTTACTCAACAATTCCAGATCACTGCCAAAGGGGCCACCCCCACCCAGCTCTGCCCCAGTGGTCCTCCTCTCCACAGGGACACTCTCTCCATCCACTCTTCGTCCACAACACTTGATGCAGCAGCAGCCTTTCCCTCCTGTCTCACCATGGCTGTAACACCTTCAGAGCAATGACTACTCTTAAACTACTTAGAAGCTCTGTGATCAAAGACAGTGTCTGGTATGTCTTGGCAAGATGTCATTGGAATCCATCCAGGTTGAGACTGGAACACCCACACCTCAGGTAAACTGTCTCAAAATAGGTCACCACCCCAGCATTCCTGGAGTGGCCCACAGCCAAGTCAAATTAAATGCAGCGGCAACTCTCAAGCTAGAATCATCTTTCCTCATTCCTCTGCGGTTTTCCGCCTTTCCTACAACTTGCTCAAAATTCATTTCTCTATCCTTTTCCCCTTCACCTACCACCTGTTCTTTCCAGGTCAAAATAAGCCAGGCGGCAGTGCAGGCTGTGTCCCCTTTCTTCCCCAATGTTCCCCAGGTCCCTGCACTCCCTCTGCCCAGGAAGCCACATGGGTCCTCCCAGGCGATGGGCACTGCAGAAATCCCTGGTCCACCCCTGGCCTTCTTGTTTCCCTTGTCTCCCACGGCTAACCCATGCCTTTCTGGCTTCATAGTGTCTCTTGTCTTATCACCACACATCTTCACAAGAACTTTTCCCACACCACAACCAACACCCAGAATCTACTACTACTGTGAGTGGATAACTATCCTAAGTCCTTCTTTAAAACACACACACACACACACACACATTTGCACACAATTCAGTAACCTTAGGAACAAAATGGGTAGTTCTCCTGCCCATGGCTGTGAGGGATAAAGCACTTTAGAACTGGCAGGTTGATCCCTAGTGTAGTTAGCACAGCCCAAGTGACCACCACTAGGGTAAGGACTCATTGGCAAGATCTCTTCTGAGGCTGTGAGTGCCTAAGTGCTGGCTGCCTCTCTCGGAAAATACGGTCAATAGCTCCTATTCCAATCAAACACCTTCTGAACTATTAAAGCTCATCCTCTATAAAGGATTACATAGATCTTGCTTCCAAACTCAGAGA